GCATGGCATATATATATATATTCTATGTAATTACTGATAAACGAGTACAGAATAGAAACTAGAGTGGACATGCGTATTATATTTTTTTATTTGGACTTTACTCACTAATTTCTTGGGGTTCTTTGTAAATGACTAATTTCCAAGCATGTCCAAAATCTCCTGAAAAAATCCTGGCTGGAACAAGTCAGTCTGCCCTGGTGGTTCCACAGAGGTTTGGGTTGGAAGAGACCTAGAAGTTCTAGGTATTTATCTCTGCTCCCTCCCAGGCAAAACTGGAATGAATTTCCCAACTAGAGTATGGGCATTCTGAGCCATTAGAAAACTCACTCTTTTTTCCCAGACAGGTAGTGATGTAACAGTAGGAGAAGAGTATGGACTGTGAAAAATCAGTTATTGTCTTCTCCTTTAATTTTAGTCATTTATAAATGTCACAGCCCGTTCTTCACAAGGTGGAAGCTTAGCACAGGTTCAGAGATGTTTGGCAAAGATCCCACAGAGCATCTCCACTGGTTCCTTCTCCCTGCTCTTCGCTCGCCTGCCCTTCCTGCAGGAGACGGGAGCTGGTGGTGCTCTGCCCTTGTGCCAGCTTTGTCCTCGAAACGAGGCAGTTTCATTTCTCCGTTGGCAGCACAGGTTGACTCAAGCACGACGTGCGGTGCTCTTGGAGATTAATGCCAGTGTTTCTTGTGAAAATAGATGGAGGTTTTACTTTAATAGTGAGTGAATTGCTAATCGTCCTGTCCAGAGCAGCTAGTGGGCAGGTATTCAAGCTTAGTTTTCAAAATCACAAACTTCACAAAAAATTGCTTGTACTGTCCTTGTTGTCTGCCAGAATCTTTCTTTTCCACTTAATCGTCTAAGTTTCTAAATAGGCCTTTCCTTCATGTGCCACAGACTTCAGTTAAAGAAGCTTTATGCCAAGTCAGCCAGGACTACAGCGATTTGGAATAATTATTTCAGTTGTTATGGATGTTGTGTACATGCAGGAGGGAGCATTGCATCGCTTCCTAACAGAATTATTCAAATGGAAGCTGAGCATAAGAAGCAGATGAAAACTATATTGCAATATGTAACTATGTTTAGTATTTCAGTGCAGATATAGGCATGGCTGCATTTAACTGTTACACTGCATTTTTAAAAAGTCTTGAGCTGTTTGATAGGAAGCTGAACTTGAAAACGAAGCCTTTCTCATAACCTCTCCTCCCTCCTACACAAAGGCAGAGGCAGGAGCGGCCTGCGTCTTGAAACGGTCGGCTTGTTGGCAGAGGGCCGGTGTCGTGTCACGGTGTCAGCGTCGATGACTCTGCGGAGGGGACTTGCCTGAAAACTCTGTCCTTTATCCCCGCTCGACTGGAGAGCTCAGGGCAGCGGCTTCTTGCTCCAGGGAGCAGTAGGAAAGGTCCCCGAGAGACTGACAAGGAAGAAGAGCTTGCCCTGCGAGGAGGCTTTCTTATGTGAAGGTTACGTGCCATCCTGAATAATTCATCTCCTGACCAGAGCTGTGGCAGCACTCTGTCAGCTGTGACCACAAACTCTGTCTCAAGGTACTTAGTCAACTGCCTATTCTGCTGGGTGAGCGTCTTAGTAAAATCTCTTAACTTGATACCAAGGCTAAAAATGTCTTTGTTGCAGTTCAGCCACTTTTTTAACTTTTCAGTTAGTTGTGAATCACTAGCCACTTACCAATCCTGTGTCCCACCGACTTCTGATTGATGTGCTGAGATTTACTGTCAGTATATCACTGAGTCGGATGCTGCAAATAAAAGCTTAAGCAAAGCAGACAACAAAATCTTTTGGGGGATAGTGTCAGGGTTATTGGAGGGCATAGCTGTGGAAAAGTGTACGGTCACAGAAATAATGTATGGAAAAAAAATGAAGGTGGAGAGGACCTCATAGTCAAAGGCCAAGTTGAGTAGTAGAGGATTGCAGGGGCAGCTTGTGCTCCACCTTATCTGCTAGAAAATCAGCAACACCTACCAAGATCCTGCATAAACTTGTCATGTTTTCTTGAATTCACATCTGACAAAATTTTCTGGAAGGTGAGAGAGAGAACAAGAGGAAATGGGCAAGACGTTTTATTGCTCTTTGTGCTATCCCACGGCAAGTGAGAACCGTAGTTGGGCAGGATCGCTTTTGTTTCCAGAAGCTAAGGTCCTGAAAAGTGAGGGGTGACAAAAGATAGCTGGTTTCCTCCGGGGACGCAGGGACATCTCGCTGTTCAACCTTAAAGCTGAGCTTCTCGGGAGAGGAAAGGGATATTTTATTTGCAAACACGTCAAAGCAGGAGCTCCTACTGAGGCGCTACATAAGCCACAGTTGCCAGTACAGCTTCAGCTGAAGTTTATTCTTGCTAAAGCTCAAGCAGGGAGGAATAAAGAGTAACTGTAGAAGCACCTTTTCCCTCCTATAGTCCTTGTGGATGGATACAGGGGGTTGTTTCACTCCCTGAAACAAATTACAATATCCTTCAGAGTATTTTCATTTTCTTTCCTGATTTCTTACAGCCCCAGCAGGACTATTGTGCTTAGCAGAAACCAGTAGTCCCATCAGACACATCTCTGTCAGGCTGCTTGCTAGGAATGGCTTTGGAAAGTGCTGGAAGCAGGCAGGAGTTACACTGGATTTACCAATAAATGGATACTCTGAAAAATCACGAAGGTCAAGCTAGGCTCTGGTATTATTCCCGTCAAAGATAAAGCTCAAGCTGTCAGGTTATTAGAAGAGTGAGGAGTTTACAGTAAAATAAGACTGAAAAGAGCAATCTTTGCCTAAAAGAAAAAAATCAGCAAGTCCGGCATCCTGATATTTTTCTGCTTTAATGGCAGTATCCTTCCTTAAAAGTACTGCTCTAGGGTTTTTTTCATAGTGCTTTGGTGGCTGATCATGTTTAGATGTCTAGATTTGCTGTTACCTTAACCATACCTAGCAAGCACTTTTGAAAACAGGAGGTGATGGTTGTGTGCAAGAAACCACAAGATCTATCTGGCTGTTTGTTGTCTTCTTTGGCGCTGCCAGTGGTCAGGACTCAGCGTCCTTGGTGCCGCCCAGCAAGACTGGACAGTGAAACAAAAAAAAAGAGAGTATTCCCTCTTGTCTTTGGAAGTTTTTCAAACCAGGATCTTGGTTTGTTTACCCAAGTTTCCCCACACATCCTTATGTTCATGCAAGAGTTGGATATGAGCAGCCCAGCTGAGCTCTGAAATCATGTGGTGACTCGATAGGGAGATAAATATCCACAAGCTTTTGGAAGTACTGAACTAGGAACAGCAAAACTTTCCAAACTGAGCATTATTTTAAATACAGCTCACATTCGCAGAATCGCCTGGATTGGAAAAGACCTTTAAAATCATCAAGTCCAACCATTAACCTAACACTGACAAGTCCTTGACTAAACCATGTCCCTAAGCACTTAAATACCTCCAGGGAGGGGGACTCCACTGCTGCCCTGGACAACCCGTTCCAATGCCTGGTAACTCTTTCAGGAAAGAAATTCTTCCCAATATCCAGTACAAACTTCCCTTGGCCATTTCTTCTTGTCCTCTCACTTGTTCCTTGGTTGGAGAGCCCGATCCCTGCTGTGCAGCATCTCCTTTTCCCTGCAGTTCTGAACACGCTTTCTCCGCCCTCAGCCGCTGTGCCTCACGGTGACAGGCCCGTGGGACTATGAAGCCACAGGTAACCCGTCTGCTTTGATTGCCAGGCTGGCCTGAATCCTTTACCAACCAGGATTAAACCTTGGTTGTCCTAGCCCGTTCTGGGCTGTTGGAGCAGCTGGGTTTATTTTTGCTTCCCTGGACGCTGTGCTGGCAGGCTGGGCTCAGCCCTGGCCTCCTGAACGGCGTGGTGCCTGCGCTCCCAGCCTGCCAGCTGCAGTCTTGGCTCTTGTCTCTCTTGCTGGCCCTGACGGGATCTCTGGGTTCTCTCCTTCCCACAACATGAGTGAGGCAGCGAGGTGACGTTAAAGAACTGGAACGGCAGATAAAAGACCCTTATTATATTTATTGAGTGTTACAGATAAGTCATCCACTCTGCTGTCAGTGTCTAGAGAAGCAGCAAATAAAGTGTACATGCCCCTTGCTTTGATGTGCTGAAATCTCCAGAGGATGTTTCCTGCAGTGGCATTCGTAGTGCAGCTGTAACTGAGTTTGTCAGTGGAAAATATAAGATTTTTCATGTCTTTACGCGTTGCTTTGAAAATATCACTCTGGACAATTCCGTGGTCTGAAAGCTGGGGTTTGGGTTGTTTTGGTTTTTTTTTACAGAACGTTATTAAAATCATCTTAACCGTTTTTGTTGGAAGGGGAAAAATTAATAGTTATTTTGTGGTTTCATACCACAAACATTAAAACAACACTCTGGTTTTCATTTAAACCAATACAAGTGTGGAAATTCAAAATGAAGGCTCTCTTCATGTCCTTAAACTGACTTGTTGGCCTTGCTGAAACACGTAATGGATGGAGCAGGGGAAAACCTCAGGCTTACAACTCATAACATTGTTTTTGCATGTGCTTCAGCTTTTTTGTTGCCGGATTTCAAACTTGACGTGTCAGCCTCCAGCGACACGTCTGAGCCCACGTGTCTCAGAGAAGTGGCGCCCCTGCCGGCAGGGAGGCTGGATTAAAATGATCTCTGAGGTCCCTTCCAGCCTCAGCCATTCTATGATTCTATGGTTTATGTCTTATTGAGCCTCTCAGAGAACACTGAATAGGGGCATGAATTGTGTCCCTGCACGTTTTGGGAGGCCACGTGGAAATGTTGCCGGAATGGAGTAGTCATGACCGATTTGACCTCAGCACGTGTAGACGTGTACAACTGAAATGGTCACTCACAGGTTGGTAGGAGCTGGGCTTTGATTTATAGCCCTGGTCCCTAGAGTCTCACGTTGGCACAGCAGGAAAGATCAGGTCCTGGGGAGAGAGCGTGTGATGAAGACACACGTTCTGAAGAGCAGCGTTAGTCGTGGCAGCGAGGCCAGTCGTGCCAGTGTTCTTCTCTGAAGCATGTCGGTCACGGTGGCTTGGAAGCAGCCGTGGTGTGGGGAAGGTATGCAGAACCACTCAGTCCCACCAGCTCTGTCTGGAGGCACCAAGGTGGACGTCCCCAGCCTAACTCCGCTCCCAACAGGCCCAACTGCAGCAGGGTGTGCGGGGTTGTGTCTGGGTGACTCAGGGAATGGAGACTCGGTGTTGAGTGACCCTGCACAGGACTTTATCCCGTTTGGTTTTGTCAGTTGGCTTGACCAACTGTGCAGCATGTCCAGGAGTGGTCTCGCTCAAGAGGAGTAACACCTTCCCTTGAATCGCTGGATGCTCTCACGCCGGCGTAGTTGGCCTTTGTCGCTGTGACTCCTGGCCCGCTTGGTGTGCGTGAGTCCGTAGATGCCTCTCACCTGTGGAGCTTTGCGTGAAGAGCTGTCCCTTCCAGCCCATCCCAGCCTGCCCCATGCATGGGGCTGGGCTGTCTTGGGGCAGAACTTCCACTGAAGTTCTTCTGAAGATCAGAGAATGATTTAGGGGTCCATTTGGTTGTGGGAAGAGACACATGGTACCTGACTCCACAATCAGTCAAACTGTCGTACTTCTCTTTGGCATGAAATAAAATAGTGTTGCAATGCGCAGTGGGGCTGCACATCTTTTCATGAAGATTATGAAATTGAGGCACACTTCTTGCTGTAATTAGAAGGTAGAAGAGTTAATCACAGGGAGGAATGGGTTCATTCACAGAATCACAGAATCACAGAATGTTAGGGGTTGGAAGGGACCTCTGAAGATGATCTAGTCCAACCTTCATCCCAGCACACCCAACCACTACACCACAGCCTCAAGTGCCAGATCTACTTTTTTTTTAAACACCTCCAGGGTTGGTGACTCCACCACCTCCCTGGGCAGCCTGTTCCAGTGCCTCACCACTCGTTCAGGAAAGAACTTCCTCCGAATATCCAATCTAAACTTACCCTGACGCAACTTGAGGCCATTTCCCCTTGTCCTGTCATTAGTAATCAGAGAGAAGAGACCAGCACCAGCCTCACTCCAGCCTCCTTTTAGGTAGTTGTAGAGGGCAATAAGGTCTCCTCTCAGCCTCCTCTTCTCCAGACTAAACAAACCCAGTTCCCTCAGCCGCTCTTCACAGGGCATGTTTTCCAGACCTCTCACAAGCCTTGTTGCCCTTCTCTGCACCCGCTCCAGCACCTCCATGTCCTTCTTGTGCTGTGGTGACCAAAACTGGACACAGTACTCGAGGTGAGGTCTCACGAGTGCCGAGTACAGGGGCATGATCACCTCCCTCCTCCTGCTGGTCACACCATTTCTGATACAGGCCAGGATGCCGTTGGCCTTCTTGGCCACCTGGGCACACTGCTGGCTCATGTTCAGCCGGTTGTCCACCAATTCCTATTTGCTCTTAAATTTTCTAAACTGCTTTAAAATACCTTCAGCTGGAGGAGCTGAACTTCACTACGAGCCCTTTGTGTGCTGAAGCACAGAGTTTTCTCAATCCACTTGAATTTCCGCGCAGTAGTTGCAGGGCTGTTTTCCCCACAGAGTCCTTGCGTTGATTTCGTTGATATGTGAAGTCATCTGGGTTTATTCAGAGTCATACAATCAATTCTTTGATGTGCTAGAGGCAACCCAAACCTCTTATTCCCATCTATTCGCCCTTTGAGAAAAAAAATTGGAAAAAGTTTTCGAAGTTAGGAGTCGGAGGCAACTGAACTGGGAGATAAACCACCAACAGATGGGGGGAGGGTTGTGCATGAAGGATGTACTCTACCTAATGCACCATTAAAACTTCATGAAGAGGTGTCCCAGAAAAAAAAATTACAAAACAGTAGGCTTAATATTAAATTCTTAGTTTTAGCAGTCTGATTGTTTTCAGGAAGGAATAATCAGCTTAACCACAGCATTCACATATTAAATGTTCTGAGAGAAGAGGGATTGTCTGATTTTTTTAATTGTTTTTTTTTTCCGCAGTAATTAGTGAAAGTCAAAAGCAGCAACTGGAATCTGTGAGCTACTCCTCCCGCTACGCTCTGGGACTTTTTTATGAAGCTGGTACACGGATTGATGTCCCCTGGGCTGCACAGTACATCACTGATAATCCCTGCATACGCTTCATCTCCGTCGATAATAAGAAACGCAATATAGGTCAGTGCTCCCATTATTTCCCTTAAACACAGCGACAATAGAGGGTGTAGATCATGAAAAATGCTGTTTAATTGAGTGTTGCTATTCTGAACAGAGCAAGTATTTAACTCCAAGCTGCAGCGGATAGCATTTAATGTCACATTTGGCCTGTAATAAAATACACAATGAAAGCGGTAAGCTCTTCAGAAAATCACCACCCAGCACATGGTTTACGTTACTGCATTTATGAAACCAGCGTCAAGGGATCTGAGACATCAAAATGTTGCTATTCCAAGAAAGAGATGGAGTTCCTTTGTTTAAACATCGGTTCACACACATGCCAATTTGTTTCCCATCATCCATTACTTTACAACTCCTGTTCTTTCCACTAAGCGTGCTTGGAAGTAGTAATGAGTTATATAATTGAGGCTGTTCAGCCTGATTCAGAGTTAGCCAGTGTGCTTTTATAATCATGGAAAATCCAGGCAATGGCTGCGCATCGTATGGCTGCTTAGGAGAGCCTGGAGGACATCCCACCAGGCAGACACTTCTCCTCTGTTTCTGGAAGATGGCAGTTGAGTAAGTATACGGTTTATTTATTAACTAATATTATTATTATACTAAGAGTGTGTTGGCGTAGAATAGCTGGAGAAAAAACACTAGCATTTGAGTTTAATCAAGTTCATTAGGCGCCAAAAACACTTCCCAATTCTGTTCCTTGCTCGCCCTGCAACAGCAGCCAGGTTTAACCATTTCGGTGAAGTGAGGGTCACAACCTACCCACCTTTGTGGTGACCTACAAAGCACTGTGGCTCACCGGCGCAGAATAAGGAAGGATTTTCAAAAAATCAGCCGCTGCCTAGTACCTAATAAGTAAGCATTGCCGAATTCACTGCACTAAAGCATGTCTACATTTAGACCTGGCAGATTTCTTGTTTCAGTCCTTGTTCAGTCAGGATTCCGTTTCTTGCTGCAGCCAGCAGACATTGGTGATATTGGTACCTGTGGGGCAGGGAAACCACGCTAAAAAACAGCCGTAACGTTGGGCGTGACTTCCCTCTCTTACACTGTAAACATGAAATTTAATGTAATAAAGCCATCGAGGTGCTGGAGCAGGTCCAAAGAAGGGCAACGAAGCTGGTGAAGGGCCTGGAGAACAAGTCTGGTGAGACGTGGCTGAAGGAACTGGGATTGTTCAGCCTGGAGAAGAGGAGGCTGAGGGGAACCTTATCACTTTCTACAACCGCTGAAAAGAGGTTGTAACAAGGTGGAGGTTGGTCTCTTCTCCCAGGTAACAGGTGATAGGATAAGAGGAAATGGCCGCAAGTTACACCTGAGGAGCTTTAGATTGGACATTAGGAAAAATTTCTTCACCAAAAGGGTTGTTAAGCACTGGAACAGGCTGCCCAGGTGCAGTCACCATCCTTGGAGGTGTAGATGTAGATGTAGCAGTTGGTGACATGGTTTAGTGGCGGGCCTGGCATCGCTATGTTACTTTGAGTCGTGTTCAGTTTTGGGCACCTCAGTACAGGAGAGATCTCGAGGTGTTGGAGCGAGTGCAGAGGAGGGCAACAAAGCTGGTGAAGGGCCTGGAGAACAGACCTTGTGAGGAGAGATTGAGGGAGCTGGGTCTGTTCAGTTTGACCAAGAGGAGGCTGAGGGGGGATCTCATCATGCTCTACAATTACTTGAAAGGACATTGTAGAGAGGTTGGGGCTGGTCTCTTCTGACAGGTCATTAGGGACAGAACCAGGGCAATGGTTGCACCGGGCAGGTTTAGGCTGGACATTAGGAAGAAATTCTTCACCGAAAGAGTGGTCAGACACTGGAATAGACTGCCTAGGGTGGGTTGAGTCACCATCCCTGGATGTGTTCAAGTGTCACTTAGATGGGGTGTTGGGTGATGTGGTTTAGGGGTGAACTTGTAGTGTAGGGTCAGTGGTTGGACTCAATGATCCCAAGGGTCTTTTCCAGCCTGAATTGTTCTAGGATTCTATGATTCTATGATCTTAAAGGTCTTTTCCAACCTAAATGATTCTATGATGTGATGAAGGACTGTCACAGTGCCGCAGTGGGGCTGGTGGCCAGGACCTTTGAAGATTTCTGCAGCTCCCACTCACAGCAGGCTGTGCTAACACAAGGTTGGGACAGCTGTGCCTTGCCTAGCTGAGGTTTTATGAAAACCCACATCGCTGGCGTCCCAGGGCTGCACCTCCGTTGGGTGAAGAGGTGTGTCTTCTGCAGTCTGAACTTCCAGATGTCACCTCCTGTTCCATTTTCTGCCTCTACCAGTTAGAGTCATGGTCATTCAGGTTGGAAGGGACCACTGGAGGTCGTCTGGTCATATCGCCACACAAAGTCTGAAGCTAGATCCACCTGCGAAGTTAGTTCATGCTGCTCAAGGCCCTGGCGTGATGTGATTTGCCACCTTCAGACTGCTGGCTTGTACTCGGTGGTGGATCCACCATCACCAACAGGATCTTCTCAGAAGGGTCTGCTGCTCAGCCAGACGGGCATGGGCTTATTCTGGGTTGGACACGGGACCTAGCACTCCTTGTGGGTGACAGCACAATTCAAGTCAGCTTTTCCAAACATGCCCTTCCCTGCACCAAAGCCAGCTGGGTTTTTGTCTCCAGAAACAGCAGTTTATGCTGGGAGCAGCGGAGTTGGAGAGATGGATCAGCTCACGCCCGTGGAAGCCCAGTTGTATTATTTCCCCTAAGAATTTAGTCTGTTGGTCTGAAAAGAGGGAAAATAAAGTGAAAGAGTGACTGCACTGGCCAAAACAAAGATTCGTCCACCCTGATATACTTCCTCCAGCAGGGACCAATAGTGAGTATGTAAGAGTGTAAGAAAAGCCAAATACAGAGTAGTGCTGTGTTTGTCCTCTTCTGTGCAGAAGAGGACACAGCTCAAGGGAGAGTTCATCCATCCTTTCCTCACCCGCTTGTGTATGTGGTCTCAAAGTGTCAGCACAGAGAACAAATACAGAATTATTACAGAATTGTAATGGAATTGTCAAATATCTCAGTCTTTGCTGTCTCCAAATGCAATTTAACCAAATAGAAAGCCTATTATTTGGGGCATATTGTTGACAAGTATATAGAAACTAGCAGAACATTAGTGCTGGCACATAGCTTTCTCACGGAAATTTCCCTCCTGTTGGGGGAGAGATCTGTTTATATGAGCAAATTTTACCAAGAAGAACAAATTGTATACCTTCAGAGGGCTGGAACAAGCTGGGGGCCAGCAACTGAAGATGATTTCTCTGCTGTAGGACCCTCCTGGTGGCATGCAAACAGGCAAACAGCTGCCTTGGCTGCGCCGTCTTTCCTAGGGAACGTGCATTTTGCAGATTTGCATTTTGTTCCAGGAAAAGGAGCAGCAGGGAGAGAGCGGTGTGTGCTAGCGAGAGCGATGTTTCTAGCTGAGCGCAGGAGGGTTGGAGAGCATGGCTCTCTCGTGTTCAGTAATGCTGACATCAAGAGGTATAAAAATCAGAAACGGTTGCCAGGTGGTTACCTTTTCGTCTAACTCGTGCACAGCTCTGCTGAGGGTGGAGGCACACACGTACTTACTTGAGGACAGCATGGGCAAGGGAGGCTGAGTGTAAAATTTATTTACACAGATGGAGTTCCGCAGCCAAAACACTTGAATGTAAAGTTCCTTTATGTTTGTTTTTAGTACATACACAAGTATTTTGCAATTGTAGTTTTGTTTCTGAGCTTCTGACTGACAGCCAGACCATTTCAGTGGGAGGCACAACAGCAGCTCACTGTCTCATTTGCTGCTTTTTTGGGGTGCCATTGCTGATGTTTTACCACCATGCCCCACTCACTCGTCTTTCTTCCCATTCTTGAATTGATTGCGTTCATCTGAAGAAGACAATGGTGACGATTGAAAAGTAGGTGTTCAGAGAGAGAAAGCAGAAGTGCTCAGGCTGAGGTTTACACTGGTTGTCTTGGGTGAAACACCTGAGATCTTTCAGGACACTGCTCCTTCCCAAAAGCCATCGCCTTTTCCACTTGATGCCTGAGCAGTCCCACATCCACCGTTCCTCCTCCATGCCCTGTACACTGTCCCTGTCTATTCAGTTGTGTGTTATTTCTCGTGTGCCTGCGTGCATCCCTCCTCTCCCTTGCATTAATCTTAAGAGGAAAAATTGCTTTGCTACCCGTCCGATGTGGCTGCTGTGCTTACCAGGAGTACAGCCTCCACAGAGAGAGGAGCATGGCTGCCCTTCTCTAGGCAGAAGTGGCTAATGGATCAGACACAAGTAGAAATTTGATTTCTTTTCTGAGGTTTCTGCACCTACTTTGTTGTATCCACAGTTCGTGGATTCATTACCACATCGAATAGTAACATCTTAGTAAACGGCATTGAACTATAGACATCCAAAAGAAATTACTTTCTGCTAAGGGACCACTTGGTGAAACACATCATTATACAAAAAAATCTCTACATCTCTAGAATGTCTACCTAAAAACAAGTAGTCTAACCCTCAAAGGCTGCTGTTACTGATGTAATTTGGAGCGCGGTGAAGCCCCAAGAAGGAAGGCTTTTTGCATCAGCTGCTCTTCATGAAACCACGGCTCCGTCCGCAGAGGTAGTGCGCTTGAACGTTACGTAAGGAAGGGCCTACAAGAAGTGTATGTTGAATTCCCTCTGCGATACATATGAATATTAAATATTTGTATGATTGGCTGCCTTAAACACCCCATCAATATTTATAACTGGTCGGGGGGGGACAGTGGGAATTCTTTGGTATAAATTATTTCAAGCCTCGTTTCTGTAATACTGCAGTCTTTGCATCTCTTTGCGTTCTCGAGGACTAAAGACAGATGACATGTAAAAATGGAAGCAGCTCCCTTCTTTTGCTTCAGGATTGCAAGGTTATATAATTTGAAGGGAAGATTCATCTTACAGGTTTTCAGGATCCGTGTAATTCTTGAGTATCTTTTTTAATTTTAAAATATAGGTTCCTTTATCTTCTCAGTACCAAAATAAGCGTTTTTAGGAAG